GCGCTCTCCGGGAGGCCCTCGGCAGGTGCCCCTTCGCCGCCGTCCCCGCTTCCTCGGCAGGGGCGCTGGGAACAGAGGCTTCTCGGGCCTCCCCGCGTTGCAGAGAGGCCGGGGCGCGGGGGCGGCTGGCCTGACCCCCACCTCCGGCTCTTCGCCATGCTTGCACACGATACGCTGCACGCGTGTCAGCCGAGAGCGGCTCAGGCAGGGCAGGGCAGGGCGCGCCGCCCTGCCGGAGTCTCCGCTTTGAAGTCGGCGGCCCCGCAGGGATGAGTCCTCGCCCCGAAGCGAAAGCGTGCATAATTGATTCAGGACATCTTCACTGAGACAAACTATTTCCTAGTTTTCTCCTGCAAATGAATATGGTTGGAAACTGAAAAGTACTTAAGTTTGAGGGAAATTGCCCAACGTCGGGCTCCCGAGCGACCTCAAGTGTACCGAAGGGTTTCCGCCTATTTCTTTGTTTTTACCCCGCCTTTCTCCTTGAAAAGGACCCAAGGCGGGTTAAAACAATGGAAGACGACGTTCAAAATTGAAAGCAACGAGCCTACAGCGGTGGTTCACCTCATTAGAAGACCATATTTATATAAAAAGCAGGCTTTCCAGCCTGAGCCGGGGATGCTCTTAGTGGGAGCCCTCCTGCCCCGCGCCGCCCCGTCCCGTCCCACCGCCGCCACCTTATGGGTCCTGCAACCGGAGGCCACGGAGAGGCGCCAAGGGGCCGCCCCGAGGGGGGGGGCGCCTTCTTCGGGAGGTCGGAAGATACAGGGGCGGTTGCGGAGGACCCCGGACGCCCCCGGAAGCCTCTCTTCCTTAACTCCTTCCCTCCCTCCCTCGCTCGCAGCGCGCCCCCCACCCCTCCCCACCCCGCGCTCGCCCCCCAACCGCCGCCTTCGGTTGCGCGGAGGTTCCGCTGCGCTGCCAGGATCGCTCCTAACCCCTGCGCCCTGGCAACGGAGTCCCGTCCGCCTGCCCGCCGGCCATGGCAGACGTGGGCGGTTCTGGTGGCAAGAGGGAGTCGGGGTGAGTGGCCGAGACCCACGCCTCTCCTTCAGGTCGAGTCAGGCGGGCACCTCGGGCAACTGGCCCGGAGGCTGTGCTGGGTATTTGGGTGACTGAATGGCGGGCAGGACTTGTTGGNACCCCCCCCCCACAGGCCACCCTTTCCAGTCTCAGTGTTGAACATCACACCTTTGCAGCGGGAGCACATCCGAGAGGTTTGGGCAAAGGCCTTTGATGATGCTGAGGAGAATGGCAGGCTCATCATCCTGAGGTGAGGCATTCAGGTGGTCATGGCGGTGTGTGTGTTTGCATACATGTGTTTAATATTGCTGGAGGTGCCTTCCTCCCCCACAGGCCACCCTTTCCAGTCTCAGTGTTGAACATCACACCTTTGCAGCGGGAGCACATCCGAGAGGTTTGGGCAAAGGCCTTTGATGATGCTGAGGAGAATGGCAGGCTCATCATCCTGAGGTGAGGCATTCAGGTGGTCATGGCGGTGTGTGTGTTTGCATACATGTGTTTAATATTGCTGGAGGTGCCTTCCTCCTGGGCAGCCAGGGGTGGGTAGGCGGGGGCACGCCTCAAGCCCCTCTGCCCGCCTCTGAGCATGACTGGTCAGGGCTCCTGCCTGTCAGCCGCTGTGGAGGTGGGGTCCCTCCGGGAAGAACTCCCGCCCACCCCACAGCTGCTTCCCTTTCCGCCCCGGCCAGGCTAGGATGACATTTAGGGTGGAAGCCAGCCTTATAGACAGCCTGCAATCAGAAGAGGACTGCCCTTGAGGGCTGAATGTGTGGCAGTGCCACAGCGGGGGCATCACTCGCCTCCCACAGGTGCAAACCTATTGGCTTTGTTTTGTGACCGGTCCTTTGGACGGAAGCGCAGGGTGTCTTGGAAGTCCAGTTTCACAAACAGGAAGAACCGCCTCACTGACCAGCCGGAGCTGCAGTATTCCTTCCAGCCCTGGGTTGAAGGAGGGCCCTTGCTCTCTCTCTCATTCTCTCTCTCTCTCTCTCTGGCTGTTTCAGTGTGTGCTCGCTCTCTGCCCCGCCTGCGCTCCAGCTGCTGAGGAAGCTTCCTTCCCAGAGAGCTTGTGTGGGCATGGGTACACCAAGCGCATGGGCAGAAAGCGGAGAGGCCGCGGGCAGGCTTGCTCCCAGGGGAATGTCTGAAGCATCTGGGTCCCAAAGGAGGGGGTGGGGTGGGGCTGCAGAGCCTGTTTCTCCATCTGTCCCTGG